GATTAGATAGCTGAGAGAGCGTAGTGTTGAAGAGGGCACAGCGATGAGAGTCGCATCAATGCTCGAATCAACGGGCAAGGAAGGGGTACCATTTCTCGGGTTAGCGTTTCTCATGGTTCTTCCTTCTTTCGTGTACCACTCACCATCCCTAGGTTAATTTGAAATGGGTTGCTTTTCATCGTGAATTCGTCGGTAACTCCAAATGTGCGCGTGTGAGAAAGATCTACACAAACTTTCGACGAATATCAGTTTTTGAGCGCGCTGAATCAAATGATAGTGGCTAGTGATTGTAAAAAAAAGTGAATTGCGACTGGTTTCCGCAGGGACGTAAAACTGTTAATGTTCGTCTGATATGAAAACCAGTCAGTACATACATTCAGTGACGGGTGAGCTTCAATTTGTCGACAAGCTGGTCTGTTATCGTTGGATTGACTCGGACATGGGCGACCAGTCCTGGCGTGAAATGACGAATGGCATTCCAGGTGGGAGATTTTCAGTAAATTCGGTGTTGTTCAGTAAAATCCCTGTTTACCACATATTTTTCGAATCCACTCAAAAAAGCCAATACCAGGTAAAGATTTTCCACGGGCGTGAAACTCCGACTAAAAGAAGATTTACCCTACTCGAATGATCTTAGCCAGTGCGTGTTTTTTTCCTGGAGCACCGCCTTGGACAACCCACACCACTGGTACGCCTCTCTTCGGAATGATTTTGAAAAAGCTGTGAGTCATCTCTTGCCGTTTTGAGACAATTTGCCTCAACTCCTCTCACTTTTTAGCCCTCACGATCGGACGCCTGAAGAGCTCGAATTGGTCTATGAGGAACTGCTACACGTGAAAAAGGCTCTCACATCTTAGCACTATGTTAAAAGGGAACTCGCCACCGTAATCGGCTACGAGCATCACACTCATGCTGGTGACAAACTTACTTTTATAAAAATACATCGCTTATTGGTTCAAAGCGTCCCTCTCAGGTACCGTATTGTTCCATCAAGGAGAGGCCGGCAAGAATTGGTACATCATCTTACGCGGAAGTGTGGACGTCAGTATACATGGAAAGGTAGGTCGTACTGTTGTAATAGAAGAAGAACCGGCCACTATTTCCAAGCTTAGCTACCTGCTGGAAGGGCGATACAGCAGCAGGCTACATCTTCTCGCCCGGCCAATCTCCTCCCCTCCACTAACCAAAAACTTTCTCTTTTTCATCGATAACCTATACCAGGCTAGCTGATACGGAGAACGGAAACACAAAATAGGATTTGACGAGAACGAAGGTTGAAGGAAGAGAGAGGCGGACACCTTACGATGCGGCCAACACGCAATTCGCGGTCGAAGGATATGCTTTCGGCAATCCACCATGACTTTCCCTTCAGCGCAATTGGCCTGGAACGCCCACCGAGCTGTCTAGCAGAGAGAGCATTAGCGTTTAAGAGGGCACAACATAAGGGTCGCATCAATGCGGAAAACCCACGGCCAAAGAAGGGGCCCATTTCCGGGTTCCGGGCCGCTTCACATGATTTCTTCTTCTTCCCTGCTCCACTAATCACCTCTACCCTTATTTCCAATGAGCTACCTTTTCATCGTAAACCGCCTTTGAAGGATGGAAACCCTTGAGTAGCATTAGCTGACACCTGCCAGCCATTATGTACATTGAAATCCATTCAAGTACTACTACAATTTCGAATTGAAGAAGAATGCATGGTGCATCCTGGAATGCCGAATGTGTTATGTCTCATTTTTTGCATACGCGTCAAGGTTTGATTACCGTGGTGCGATCCTGACAATCCATGTGGCGTTTTATTTCCTTTTGAGGTTCCATTCCCGTGAAAGGACGCAAATGCCAACACTCATCCTCAAACTGTCCATAGGGTAGCATCACTCTCTACTCACAACTACTGTTGTGTAAGCTTGGAATCCATTCAAATGGATTCAATTCCTGAACTATGATTTGCTCATGCACAAACATCATTGAGCAACGGCTTCAAATCACATACTATATTTTCACAGTGCGGCGGCTGATAGCACCTCCCTCTCAACTACCAACCTTTTCGCTTCAAACATATACGGGGGGGGCAATAAAAAAGACATTTTGTCTCCAGACTCAAATGGATTTAATCACACTTTGCTCAGCTCAAAGCGTGTGCTCCCAACTTAGAATTGAAGAGCGCATTTCATTTCATAAGAAAATCTTCATAGTGGCCATCTACGTGGACGGCATCAGAAAAGTTTGCCCCGGAAACATGGTGCTCTGGTCGAGCTCAATGGGTTCTCGACTGATCGTGTACCGTTACGACGGGTTCCGATGCCTCTAGAAAACTATCCAACATTAAATCGATTCACGAAATTGCGTAAGAGCTTCAGGCTGAAGCTCTTACGGTAGACCTCCTTGAGCCTGACGACGGTGACAGATGACGTCATATTCTGAAGACGGTGAGGGCAGTGAAGGAGGGCCTGCGTGTACTTATAGAGGGACATTTAGGGAATATTTTGCTGAGGAACTTTCGTCAACGACGGCAATCTCTGCAAGAAAAAAGGCCGAAGTACGACCTGAGCAAAATGTCTTTTTTTTGCCACCTCCCCCGTATATGCTCACTCCTCAATACGGCTGCGATACGAATTGTTTTACTAGCCTTTTCCCTGGCTGAAGGAATGAACCAGTTCATTCCGTTGCCTTCAACCAATTGGTATGTTATAGGGTTAGAATCCGGCGCTCATCTCATCGTAATGACAGTTCAGATCTTCCAGTTGGGTGGCCTGTTGCAGATCACTTTTTTTTTTCAGGGTGTGGTGTGCACTCTTCAAGAGGGCGATGATTTCGGAAAATTGGCGCTGGTAAACGACAGCCCTCGGGCGGCTACAATCACGCTCAGAGACGATCAAGCCCAGTTTCTCACATGTTCTTAGACAAGGGCATGACTTCAAGAGCTGTTAGATCTTCTCAGATTTTCTTCTCATTGATATCTTGTGATCAGATCTCATCTGTCAGTGGCCACGTCCATGCTTCTAATCCTTTAGATGAGACATTTATTAGGTCGGTCCACAATTTTTGAGAACCTTTGGTGTTTTTCGATTTATTACTTATCTTATTTCTCTGATCTACTTATCCAGCATAGTATACATCATTATTATTAACAACATATCGCCAATGCGAGGGTGGGTATTCAGTGCCTCTCTTGTGGACTTTCATAGAGTTCTGATCGAAGGAAAATTGTAGTCCCGAATCAGTTCTCAACCCAATCTGACATCATCAAGTTCCTGTTGGTTTTCCTATAGTTCCTTCGGATGACCATCTATAATACTCATTGGTGATGTGGACTGGGTGCAATGTGCTAACAAATCCACGAGCCGCAGTAGATTTGCTCAAACGATTCGGGAGTTCTGACAGTACAAACCCAACTCCCTCTGAATTCGAACTTCCTGAGTCGTTGGCGCAATACGGGAGGGCCTTTGCGCTGAAGACCGGCATCAACTAATACCAGTGTCAGTGATGGGAAGAATCGTTGACAGCTTGATGGCAACGCCTTCAACTTGAAAGCAAAGGAAGACAAAATCTCTATTTTTTTCTGAGGTCGTTCGAGCCCGCCTTGCTAAGAAAATTCCTAAAAAATTGGAGACTCTCGGGCGGTCAGTTCTTTTAGCTCCGCCTTGTAGCACTAATCCTGCGTCAACGAACGACTATCCGCTCTCCTCTCTCAATCACCTTCTGGAGAAGAAATCTCACTTGAATCACCATAAAGTCAAAATCGACATCCAATATTTCTTCGATCAGAACTCTATGAAATTCTACAAGAGGGACACTGAATACCCACCCTCGCATTGGTTATATGTTGGTAATAATGGTGATGTATACTATGCTGAATAAATACATCAGAGAAATAAGATAAGTAATTAATCGAAAAACACCAAAGGTTCTCAAAAATTATGGACCGACCTAATATAATACCGGACATGTAACACATTTAAAGACAAGATGGTCAGTGAGGCATGGGACTGCTGAATATTGTTATATTCACACTTCTAATTAACGATTCTCAGCTGATACGAAAAGAACTTGGGATAAAGGAAGAACAGAAGTGAAAAATTTCAGGATTCTCCGAGATGTTGAGGCGAACACGGTCAGATTGAAAGAACATGGGCAAGATGTGCTGGTACTTGAGAAAATAAGCTTGCCTCGAGGAGCAGCGATCGAAGGTCTGTCTAGCAACGGCAAGGGACAGTGCTGGTGAGCATCAGAATTCACATAATTCCTTGTTCTTACTAATACCTGCCGTTGACTATTGGGTAAGCATGGTCTAGTTGTTCCATGCAAACTTTGATCATTTGGAAAAAAAAATAAAAATCAGTGCAAATTATCCTGAAGTATGTCAAAGAGGGCAGCTCTTCAAAAAAAAAAGGCTGCTGGGAATTATCTGACCTGACCAATTGTGTTCGGAAATATTACATGGCTAAAAACCGGGCGGTAGGGTAGGGCAGGTAGGGTCCATGAAAATTGCTTGAAAAGGAGCATGACGAGGAAGGGTTTGTGAAATGTCAAAGCCATAACCCAGGATGAGTTTAGGTGGGTGAATCCTTTTGGTGTGTCGGATAGAGATCAGATGTAGGATAGATGTTCACAAAGATCGCTAACGTCCCGTTCGCCCGGGCGCTACAACCTTCCAAAGACTGCTTCATCCGCTTCTATTTTTCCTCGTGCTCACCATGCTGGTGTCTCCGCTCTCTTATCCGTTGTGGTCTCTTGTCTATCCTCTCCTTCGTGCTCAGTCTCTCATTGCCTTAGCACAAAAGTGGGCTAGTCCTTTAGCGTATTAGACGGATTCTTTTTCTTTTGCTGTGCTTTCGGCTCACTTCGCACCCATGCTTTCATTTTCTTATGCGAAAATCATCTAAGTTTTATTCTGGGGCATGTCTCCGACTTTGATCTCCCGCAAATCTCTACAAAACGACAGCTCTGTTATTCAGTCTCAGAATAAGTAATGACTAGCTCTTTTCAGCTACTCGGTCATGGCGGGATTGGCAGAAAAGATGCTCGAGTATGTACTGGAGACAAGAGTTGATGCGCAGGAGGACGGAGCTGAGCTGGACGTGTTTCTCGAGGATCTCGTGCTTACACATATCATTTATTTACCCACCAATACTCTCTGCAATTACCTCAAACACTACTATTCGAGAGCGGCTGAGGTAAGATTACTAACTTTTCATCTCATTCATTAATAAAAAGAGGACTGACGGGAAAGATAGAAGATATTGCTTTTCGTTCTCCTTCCGAGGCATCAAGAAGGAAAATCACCGCCTTCGGATTAAGGGCAGCTCATGACAACTTCAAAAGGCAATTACCACGAAATCACTCAAAATCTGAATGGTGCAGCACGCTGCAAAATGAGATATGAACTTCCAAAACGGCACCTACTCTAATAAC